CTATTCTATTCTATTCTGTATTTATATTCTGTTCTCTATTCTCTGTATTCTATTCTATTCTATTCTATTCTGTATTCTATTCTATTCTATTTTATTCTTGTCTATTGTGTAATTCTAGTCTATTGTGTAATTCTAGTCTATTCTATTCTGTATTTCTATTCTATTCTGTATTTCTATTCTATTCTATTCTATATTTCTATTCTATTCTCTATTATTCTATTCTATTCTCTATTCTATTCTGTATTTCTATTCTATTTTCTCTTCTCTTCTCTTCTCTTCTCTATTTCTATTCTATTCTATTTTTCAAGCATCCTAAATTTCTAGAGGGGTGCATTAATGGATGCTCATCATGCTACTGAACACAGGTAGTCCTCAACTTACGACTGCAATTGAGCTCAAAGTTTCCATTGCTAAGTGAGACAGTTGTTAAGTGAGTTTTGTCCCATTCTACAACATTTCTTGCCACAGTCGTTAAGTGAATCACTGCACTTCTTAAGTCATATGCTGCTTGAGTGAATCTAGCTTCCCCGCTGACTTTGCTAGTCAGAAAGTCGCCAAAAAGGATCACATGAAGCTGTGGCCATCCTAAATACGGGCCGGTTTGCAAGTTGTCCGAATGTTGATCACGCGACCACAGGGAGGCTGCAACGGCCGTTAAATGTGAAAAACGGTTATAAATTCCTCTTTTCCGTGCCATTGTAAGTTCGAACGGTCAATAAACGGGTGGTTGTTAAGTCGAGGACTATCTGTAGTTTAGTTTAGTTTTAGTTTATAGTTTAGTTTAGTTCAGCCATGCGTGTCTGGCTGAGGAATTCTGGGAGTTGAAGTCCACAAGTCATCAAAGGGCTAAGTTGGAAGACCCCTGCTTCAGTTTATAGTTTAGTTTAGTTTATAGTTCAGTTTTGTTTAGTTTATAGTTTAGTTTAGTTTATAGTTTAGTTTAGTTTAGTTTAGTTATAGACAGATAAAATATAGGAAGATAGGTTGATTGATAGATTTGATAGACAGACATAGACAGAGTTATAGACAGATATAAATATAGGTAGATAGGTAGGTTGATAGATGAGAGAGAGAGAGAGAGAGAGAGAGAGAGAGAGAGAGAGAGATTTGATAGATAGATGAATAGATGATAGAGATAGATATAGATAGATCAGACAGACAGACAGACAGATAGATGACGGATGGGTGGATGGATGGAGACAGACAGACAGACTGTAGACAGAGCTGACAGCTTTGCTTTCAGAAGTTGTGGGTGCTCCATCACTGGAGATTTTCAACAAAAGATTGGACAACCACTTGTCCAGAATCGTACGGGGTGTCCTGCCGGAGCAGGGGTTGGACTAGAAGACCTCCAAAGTCCCTCGCAGGCCTAGGATTCTACGATTCACTGCTGGACACATCAGAGGGTCCCAGAAGGAAGACCCACCCCAGCTCCTTTGTTGGGCTCCAGGCGCTGAGGCTACACACACACACATACACACACACACACACACACCTCTGCCTGCCAATGTTTGTTTCCCTGGTGGGGCAGGCGGGGGAGGCCGAGGAGGAGAAACACGGTCTGGATGCCAACCGGGCGCCTGTAAACATGGACAGATGGGGAGAGACGAGCCCAGAGGCTGCAGAGATGAGTCACGCAGGGGCGAAGCCAAGCTCCCCGTCACACGTCTGCCTGTGTGTGTGTGCATGTGGCCGCGGGGTGCTCTGCACACATGTGCCGCCCCCTTCCCTTCCTCTGCGCTTCGCCAGACCCTGCTCGACTGGAAAGGCAGCTGGTTTAGCTGACAACCATACACGACAGCCAGGGTTTTTTTTTTATATATACCGAGAGGGCTTGAGGAGGCTAAAGGAACAACCAGCTGTTTTCCTTCCCAACACCTCAGCAGATGAGCTGGCTGGGCAGCATGGGAGTGGGAGTCCCAAACATCTGGAGGGTCAGGAGGGGGTTCCCGCCAGCCAGGGGGCTGATCCCTTCCCTTCCTCTTCCTTCCACACAACCAAAGACAGTATTTATCACCTTCCTTCTTTCCTTCCTTCCTTCCTTCCCTCCCTCCCTCATCCCTCCTTCCTTCTTCCCTCCCATCTCTCTCCTTCCTTCCCTCTCATATTTCCTTCCTTCCTTTTCTCCCCCTCCCTTCTTCCCTCCCTCCCTTCCTTTTCTTCCCTTCTTTCTTTCCTCCCTTCCTTTCTTCCTTACTTCTCCCTTCCTTCTTTCCTTCCTTCCCTCCCTCATCCCTCCTTCCTTCCCTCCCTCCCATCTCCCCATCTTTTCTTCTTTCCTTCCTTCCCTCTTTCTCCCTCCCCCTCCCTCCCTTCCTTCTTCCCTTCCTCCCTCCCATCTTTCCTTCCTTCCTTTTCTCCCCCTCCCTTCCTTTTTCTTCCCTTCTTTCTTCCCTCCCTCCCTTCCTTTCTTCCTTACTTCTCCTTCTTTCCTTTTTCTTTCCTTCCCTCCCTCCCTCATCCCTCCTTCCTTCCTTCTTCCCTCCCTCCCTTCCATCTCCCTCCTTCCCATCTTTTTTCTTTCCTTCCTTCCCTCTTTCTCCCTCCCCTTCCCTCCCTCCTTTCCTCCCTCCCTCTTTTTTCTTCCCTTCTTTCTCCCCTCCCTCCCTCCCTTTCTTCCTTACTACTCCCTCCTCCCTCCCAAGAGGGATTTCTGGCCCAGATTACAGCACTCTGAACCTTGCACGGATATTGCTACACCTGCTCTCTGATTGCTCTGCGGCTTTTTTTGTGCTTGGAGTGCCATCTTCCTTCTCAGGGGAGAAACGGACAGGGGAATGAACTAGACTGTGATGTGTGCACGTGCATAATGGTATCTGAGAGCCAAATGCAACACAATTTCATTTTAATGTACGCTGATTAGTGTACACTTAAAGTGACAATAAAGTTTTTATTGTATTCTGTTCTATTCTGTTTTGTATTTCTGTTCTGTTCTGTATTTATATTCTGTTCTGTTCTTTATTTCTGTTCTGTTCTCTTCTCCTCTGTAATTCTATTCTAGTCTATATTTCTATTCTATTCTATTCTATTCTATTCTATTCTATTCTATTCTATTCTATTCTATTCTATTCTATTCCAGTGGTTCTCAACCTTTTTAATACCGCGACCCCCAACCGGTCGTAAGTCGAGGACTACTCAACCGGTCGTAAGTCTAGGACTACTCAACTGGTGCAGCACCGTTTGCAGAATGGGACTTTTGGCGGGCTCAGCAGGGCAGAGACAGCCTGGACAATTCCTATTGGCTTTTGAAAGCCAATAGAATTGGACTCTATTCAAGAGAGTCCATTCTATTGGCTTTCAAAAGCCAATAGAATAAAAGGGAGTAGCACAGCTAAGGAAAAGGGGGAAAAAATGGCAGGCTGCGTTGTTTGGCGACCCCCGTGAAATGGTCCTTCGACCCCAAATGGGGTCCCGACCCACAGGTTGAGAACCACTGTTCTATTCTATTCTATTCTATAATTCTATTCTGTAATTCTATATTCTATTCTATTCTATCCTATCCTATCCCATCCCATCCCATCCCGAGTTGCCCATCCTTCTTCCCCACGTCCCAGAAAGTCCAATCTTTGCTCAGCGCCTGTTCCCACACAGGGCAGCCCTGGGCAGGAGACCCCGGCAGCAGGGGAAGCTGAGCTATCCCCGTGGAAGGAAGGCATTAATTGCCATTTGCAAGAAAGACAGAAGGAATCCAAAATGATACAGGTAGCCCTTTTCTGCTTGGGCAGGAAACCCTATACCAGTGGTGGCAAACCCATGGCACATGTGCCAGAGGCGGCACTCAGAGCCCTCTCTGTGGGCACGTGCTCCGTCGCCCCAGTCCTAGGCCTTCAACTGGGTTTTATAAAACCTTTTCACTTTAGGCCTCCAACGCCGTGTGCAAAAAAAAAAAGGTTCAATCAGTCAATTTCAATTTCTCGTGGGGGGGGGAAAGATCTTGTAAAGTTGGAATTGATGGATTGAACTTTTTAGTCCCACCCAGTCTGCCGTTACCACCGCAGCCACGCCCACCCAGCACCCAACGATGCATAAGTAGGTTTTGGGTTGCAGTTTGGGCACTCGGTCTCTAAAAGGTTCGCCATCACTGCCCTAGACCAGCATTGTTAAGTGAATGCTATGGGTGAGCTTTTCTTGCTGGAAACTGGAAACTGTTGCTGGAGAATACAGCTCAGATTGGGGTCACATGACCACAGAGGTGAGCTGGCTGTCAAAATTCCCCAAATACAATCCCATGACTGCAAGGTGTGTGTGTGTGTGTGTGTGTGTGTGTGTGTCTGTGTGTGTGTGCTCGCGCATGCAGTTGTAATGAAAAGTTACATAAGAAACTTTGATAAGGTGTAATTTTTGAGCCCAAGATTTCCCATTGCTAAGTTAGGTAAGCTGATGAGTTTTGCCCCGTTTTATGACTTTTTGGACACCCTTGTTAAGTGACTCACACGGTCGTTAAGTGGATCCAACTCCCTCACTGACTTTGCCTGTCAGAAACTGGTTTTTCTATGCAGGTGGCACAAGGCTTTGGAGGGTAAACGTTGCAAACCGTGGAGGTTTGCACAAGCTTCCTCTCTGCACACACTCAGGTCACAGGTGGCTGTGCAACTTGCACAAACGGAGCAAACGTGGCTTCCAACGCACAGTTGGAAGGGTTAAAGTCGACAGTGAGTAATTCTCTGCTATTACACCTTTCCTACAACCACCCCGCGGTCCGCTACCGCTCCCCCACCCCATCCGTACACCCACCCCGGCCGGGCTCCGCTCGGGTCTCGAACTGGCGGAGATAGGACCGCTGCCGCACTGCCATTGGAGGCCCCGCCCTAGGTTCCCCCCTCTGCCCGTGACGTCAAAAAAGCGCCTCTTTGTTTACGCATGCGCTCCCGCGCCTCCACGGGAATCGTAGTCTCTCCTCGCGGGACGTCGCGGCGCCAAGCAGAGCCGGGCCCGCGCGAGGACTACAGCTCCCATGAGCGCCTCCTCGCCTCGCCTTGCGTAGCGCGCGTCCCTTTCGCAGCAGCGGCGGCGCCTTCCTTTCCGCCATCTTGGTTTCCCGGGTGACTGGGGCGGCCGGCCCGCGGAGGAGAGGAGCGCGATGCTGGCCTGCCTGATGAGCCGGCCGGGCCCGCCCGCTCTCGCGCGGCTCCTGGGGGCCGCGGCCAGACGCCCGCTCGCCAAACGCGGCACGTCGGCGCGGGAGTCGGCCGGCCGAGAAGACGAGGCCCGCGGGGCCGAGCGCCAGGAGCTGCACTTCCCGCCGGGCGTCGCTAGGGGTCGCCCGGCCCCCACCCGGACGGCGGAGGCGAGCGGCGGCGGGGTGCAGCGGCGGCAGGCGGCCTCCAGGGGGCGCCCGCTGGGCCTGCGGGGCTCCCCGGCGCCTTTGGGGGGCTGGTGGGGGCTGCCCCGCCCGGAGGAGGAGGAGGAGGAGGCGGCCCCCCCGCCGGGCTTGTGGCCCAACCCGTCGCCCGCGGGCCGCCGCCGCCACCACCGGCGCAGGGAGAGCCGGGCCAGCACCGGCGCCCTCCCCGCCGCGGCCCTGGCAGCTGCCGGGCTGGCCCTGTGCTACAGCCGGGGCCCCACCTCCAAAGGTGACTGCGGGAGGGGGCTCGTTAGCGGGGAGGGGGGACCCCCCACCTGCAGGAGCCTGGCAGGGTGACGCCCCCCCCAAGAGCCAGAATGACCCTGCGGTGCTCCTGCAGGAGGGGGCTATGCCCCTATTGGAATGAAGGAATTGTGGGGAGGGGGCAGCTGCCTCCCCCATGTGCATAAACCTGGCAGGGTGACTCCAGCTTTGACATCCCCCCCCCAAAACAGCTGGAATGACCCTGCGGTGCTTCTGCAGGGAAGGGGGCGCCTGCCTTGGCTATGGGCTGCCTCGCCCCCCTCCCAATTGGAATGAAGGAATTGTGGGGAGGGAGCACCCCCAGGCCCTCTTAAGGATCGGGTCAGGGGCAGCTGTCCCCCCAATGTGCATAAACCTGGCAGGGTGACTCCAGTTTTGACATCCGCCCCCCCAAACAGCTGGAATGACCCTGCGGTGCTTCTGCAGGAGGGGGGCAGCTGCCTCGCCCCCCCAATTGGAATGAATGAATTGTGGGGAGGGGGCACCCCCAATGCCCTCTAAGGATCAGGTCTGGGTCTAGGCAGCCCTTGTGCCCATGCCAGGGGCAGCTCCCCCCCCCGCAGAAACCTGGCAGGGTGACTCCAGCTTTGCCATCCCCCCCCCAACAGCTGGAGTGATCCTGCTGTGCTTCTGCAGGAGGGGGGGCGGTTGCCCCTGGCTATGGGCTGCCTCGCCCCCCCTCCCAATTGGAATGAAGGAATTATGGGGAGGGAGCACCCCAGGCCCTCTAAGGAGCGGGTCTAGGTCTAGGCAGCCCTTGTGCCCGTGCCAGTTGGCTATGGGCTACTTCAGCCCCCCTTTTGGAATGAAGGAATCGGGGGGGTGGAGGGGGCATCCCCAGGCCCTCTAAGGATTGGGTCTGGGTTTGGGCAGCCCTTATGCCCATGCCAGGGGCAGTTGCCCCCCCGTCTGTAAAAACTTGGGGTGTCACTGCCTTTGATCACCCCCCCGAGCCAGAATGCCCCTGGTGTGCTTTTGCAGAAGGTGGCAGCTGTCCCTGGCATGGGCACGGGGGCTGCCTGGACCGTGGGGGCACTGCCCTCAACGCAGGGTCTACCAGAGCCTCTATTGGGATGAAGGATGCGTGAGGAGGGGTCCCTAAAGACTGGGGTCTTTGTACCCGTGCTGGGGGCAGCTGCCACCTTCTGCAAAAGCATGGCAGGGTGATGCCGGCTCTGATCCCACCTTCTGCAGAAGGTGAGAGCTGCCCCTAGCATGGGCAGAGGGGCTGCCTGGACCTTAAGAGGCCCTGCCCTCAACCTGGAAGGTGACTAGGGCCCCCCTCAGCCCCCATTGGGATGAAAGATGGGTGGGGAGGGGGCTGGGCTGCCGGGAGGAAGGGGGTCCGCCACGCCCTTAAGGCAGTCCCTGTGCCCATGCCAGCTGCTGCCAGCTGCAGAAACACGCCAGGGTGATTCAGCCTTGTCCCCCTCTTCCGCCCTCCCCAAGACTCTAGTGTTGGGGGAGAGGCCAGCCACGCTCCCCCCCAAGTTGCCTAGGCCAGGGGTCTCCCACCTTGGCCACTAAGACTTGTGGACTTCAACTCCCAGAATTCCTCAGCCAGCCAAGCTAAGGAATTCTGGGAGTTGAAGTCCACCAGTCATCAAAGGGCCATGTTTGAAGGCCCCCTACTCTTACTACAGTGATCCTCATTGGGGCCTAAGGAGAAATTGCAACAGCTTCTCTTAATTCATAAAGTCCTAAAGCTGGGAGGGACCTTGGAGGTCAACTAGTCCAACCCCCTCCCCAAGGCAGAGGTTCCCAGACCGTCCCAATCTTCCCTATTTTTCTCTCATGGCAGTACGGCGACTGTGGTTTTAACTCCAGACTTATTGATTTATTGCTCTGTTTCAGGGGACTTCCAACTTGGCCCTTTCATGACTTGTGGACTTCAATTCCCAGAATTCCCCAGCCAGCTTTGCTGGCTGGGGAATTCTGGAAGTTGAAGTCCACAAGCCTTAAAGTGGCCAAGGTTGGAGACCCCTGGCCTAGGCCTAGGGCAGTGGTTCTCAACCTGTAGGTCGGGACCCCATTTGGGGTCGAACGACCATTTCACGGGGGTCGCCAAACAACGCAGTCCGCCATTTTTTCCCCCCCTTTTCCTTAGCTGTGCTCCCTTTTATTCTATTGGCTTTTGAAAGCCAATCGAATAGACTCTCTTGAATAGAGTCCAATTCTATTGGCTTTCCAAAGCCAATAGGAATTGTCCAGGCTGTCTCTGCCCTGCTGAGCCCGCCAAAAGCCCCATTCTGCAAACGGTGCTGCACCCGTTGAGTAGTCCTCGACTTACGACCGGTTGGGGGGTCGCGGCATTAAAAAGGTTGAGAACCACTGGCCTAGGGTGACTTTCGCGGCTCTGACATAAGATTTAGCCCACCTGACGGGTAGAGAGGAGATCTCGGGGCACCAGTGTTGCTACTCCTCCAGTTACAGCCATAGCTGGGACCCGTATTTCCACTGCCAAGCAGGGTGATTGTTAAATGAGTCCCCCCCCACTCCAATTTTTGCCACAGCTGTTAAGCGAATCATGCAGTTGTTAAGTGAGTTCGGCCTTCCCCCATTGATTTTAACTGGTCAGAAGCTAGCTGGAAAGGTCGTAAATGGCGCCCACATGACCCTGGGACAGTGCAACTGTCATACATACATACCGGTTGCCAAGCGCCTGGATGTTGATCACGTGTCCGTGGGGATGCTGCAATGGTCATAATTGTGAGGACCAAAATCATGGTCTGCTTTTTTAATTTTTGTTTTTCATTTTCTCTTTTTCAGAAGAGTCCCTCCTGGAAGCTGTGCGACTCAACAGTGTCCCTGAAGTGGAAAGGTACTAGTACTAGTAATAATAATGATGATGATGACGATTAATAATAATAATAATAATAGAAGTTGGAAGGGACCTTGGAGGTCATCTAGTCCAACCCCCTGCTCAGGCAGGAAACCCTCTACCATTTCAGACCAATGGCTGTCCAGTCTCTTCTTAAGAACTTCCAGTGTTGGAGCATTCACCGCTTCTGGAGGCAGGTTGTTCCACTGGTTAATTGTTCTAACTGTCAAGAAGTTTCTCCTTAGTTCTAGGTTGCTTCTCTCCTTGATCAGTTTCCACCCGTTGCTTCTCGTCCTGCCTTCAGGCGCTTTGGAGAATAGCTTGACTCCCTTTTCTTTGGGGCAGCCCCTGAGATACTGGCAGATTGCTATCCTGTCCCCCCTCGTCCTTCTCTTCGTTAAACTACTATACATACCCAATTCTAGCAGCCATTCCTTATATGTAAGATCTTGCGGTTTTCTGAGCAGTGCGCCCGGGGGGGGGGGGAAATCCCTGCTAGTTCTGCACACACCCAACTTGAGTGGCTACTGTGCCCATGCTGGCGCTGAACGTGATATATGGGGCCCATGTTTCCTCTGAAGTACGTGGTTTGGCTCACTTACTTGAGATAGCAATAGCAGTTAGACTTACAGACCGTTTCACAGTGCTGTACAGTGGTTAGAAATGTCAGCATACGGCCCCCAACCATCTAGGTCCACACATTACCAAGTTCGGAAGGATGGATGGCTGAGTTAACCTTGGGCTGTTCAGGATCAAATTCTTGGGTGTGGGCAGAGTTTAACCACTGCGCCACCACAGATAGGTAGGTAGGTCGGTAAGTAGGTAGGTAGAAAGATGGGAGATAGATAGATAGATAGATAGATAGATAGATAGATAGATAGATAGATAGATAGATAGATAGATAGATAGATAGATAGATAGATAGTAGGTAGGTAGGTAGGTAGGTGGATAGATAGATAGATAGATAGATAGATAGATAGATAGATAGATAGATAGATAGATAGATAAAAATGGTATATAGGTGGATAGATAGATAGAAAGATGGTAGATAGGTAGATAGATAAATAGAAAGATAGAAAGATGGTAGAGGTAGATGGATGGGTGGGTAGATAGATAGATAGATAGATAGATAGATAGATAGATAGATAGATAGATAGATAGATAGATAGGTAAATGGATGGATGGATAGATAGATGATAGATATAGATGGTAGGTAGGTAGATAGATAGATAAAAAGATGGTAGATAGGTGGATGGATAGATAGGTAGGTAGATAAATAGAAAGATAGAAAAAAGGTGGATAGATAGAAAGATGGTAGGTAGGTAGGTAGATAAATAGAAAGCTAGAAAGATGGTAGGTGGATGGATGGATGGATAGATAGAAAGATGGTAGATAGGTAGGTAGGTAGATAAATAGAAAGATAGAAAAATGGTAGATAGGTAGATGGATGGATGGATGGATGGATAGGTAGAAAGATGGTAGATAGGTAGGTAGATACATAGATAGAAAGATGGTAGGTAGGTGGGTAGGTAGATAGATAAATAGAAAGATGGTAGATAGGTGGATGGATGGATAGACAGATAGATAGCATGGCTGGCTCAGGAATTCTGGGTATTGAAGTCCACACGTCATAAAAGAGCCCAGGGTGCCCACCCCTGCCCTAGACCAAACTGGCTCTCATCCAAGAGACCTGCATTTAATTGTAATCCTATTTGGGGAAGTAACTGGCGTTCGCTCTCAGTAGAAGAACGTCTGGCGTGGGTTTGGCGGATCCCGGAGGTGCCGGCAAGGGGCCACCCCCAGCTGGGGTCGGAGGAGGGCTCCTCCGTTCTCTCTGAGCTTGGCTGTCCGGTCGGAGAAGGACCCGGCCTCCCTCCCTTGCAGAGGCTTTTGCACAGGCCTCTCCAGTGGAAACAGGGACCAAGTGGGAGAAGCCGTCGGCCCTGCCCTCCACCCCAGGGGGAGGGGCTCCCGGAGTCACTCAGCCAGAACTCTGAATAGAGGCTCCATATGTCTTGGGCTGGGGGGGCCGTCGGGGTGGGTGGGTGGGCACCCCAGGCCTGTGCTGCAAGGGGAGATGCCCGGAGAGGTCTCGGGGTCATCTGCCCTGGCGGGGTGGGGTGGGTGGGGGACTGCGGACTGCTTTTGGGTGTGTGTGTGTGTGTGTGTGTGGGAGGGGGGCTTTGGATTGGATTGTGGCAGGTGGGAAAGGGAGCCGTTGCACTAAGATTCCTGCTAGGGAAGAATTTGTAGCCCCCCCCCCCCAAGAGTGTAAGCTGAGCTCCTGCACGAGGGTCTTCGTTCGCCTTGGCTGATAGAAGCGAATGTTTGTAGCTGAGGGTTGAACTGTGTGGGCCTTGGTACTCTTTGAGTCGGGCAGTTTAATTTTATCATTTTCTATGACTTTCTCTATTTTATGATCCCACCAGTTTTTGCTTACAGGTATTATTATTATTATTACTATTATTATTACAGCCCTCTGTAACCTGATGGATGTTCTTGAGAGGGTTGGGAAACGCAGTTCACAAGACCTGCAAATAACACGGGCAGTTGTGCTAGCTGGCAATTCAGTTGCCTGGGGGTTCCTTTATGAGGCACCAGGTTGGGGAGACCTGGCCTAGAGTTCCTTCCAGCTAGGTTTCCTTTCTGAGCAGGGGGTTGGGCTAGATGACCTCCAAGGTCCCTTCCAACTTTATTATTGTTCTTATTATTATGTCGGGAATGCGCCTCTTTGGGAGCAGCTCCACCCAATTCCTGAAGGTTCCTCCTCCAGTTAAAAAAGTGGAAGGAACATCCGCCACGGGTGATCCAGAGAATTTTATTTTATTAGCAATAAAAGGCCCTGGCTGGTACATCCGTTGGGTTGTCTAGGAGCTGAGCGGCAGCCATCCCTTTATCGATCTGTTGTGATTAAACGAGACAGGGAATATATTCATGAGGATGACGGGCCCTCGGGACATAAGAGTTCAGCCGTTTCACAAGAGCTGCTAAGTCACTCCGCACCAACACGATGGGTTTTGGTTTTTTTTTAAATCCGCCGATAATTAATAATAATTAATAATCTGCCGAGGTGGCGCAGCAGTGAGAGTGCAGTACTGCAGGCCACTTTAGCTGACTGTGTTCAGCAGGTCGGCGGTTCAAATCTCACCGGCTCAAGGTTGACTCAGCCTTCCATCCTTCCGGGGTAGGTAAAATGAGGACCCAGATTGTTGGGGGCAATGTAAATATATATATATATACATTGCTTACTGGTGTACACCGCTTAGAGAGTGCTTGCACTTAAAGCGGTAAGTCTCATAAATAAATAAATAAATTGGAACCACCGTCGGCACGCCTTATGCTGCTCACTGGAGCTGTGGGGTTTCAGTTCACCTGTGGACCTCACCGCCCATAATCCTAAACTAGACCGGTGGGAAGTCCAGTCCAACCTCGCCAGAGAGCGGCAGGCTGAGAATGTGTGGTTTTATGGCTGAGTGGGCGCCCGGGTGTTGGTGTGTTTTGTCTTTAACAACTGGGGAGAGATTCTGCTCAGAAAGATCTGACCTCAGCCTGGCCTTTTTAAGAGCCTCAGTGGTGCCTTCGTTGCTGCTGTAATTGAAGCCACTGAGTGTCCGTTTCCTCTCCCCTGTCAACCTTCCCAAGCAGGTTGAGGAGCCAAATGATGGGAGAAAACACCTGTAGCTCAAGGTTGAACTCTGGGGTTCTGGGTGCTCTCTTTGCTTGGTTTTCTTCTTGCAGACGTTTCATGGCCCAGCTAGGTAACATCATCAGTGCTGGAAGGGAGTGTGGTTTGTCGAGGAGGAGGAGGAAGACTAAGACTGTGGGGTCCTTGGTGCTCTCTGAGCTTGCTTGTTTTCCTGCAGACGTTTCATGGCCCAGCTAGGTAACATCATCAGTGCTAGAAGGGAGGAGGAGGAGGAGGAGGAGGAGGAGGAGGAGGAGGAGGAGGAGGAGGAGGAGGAGGACGACGACGACTGTGGGGTCCTTGGTGCTCTCTGAGCTTGCTCGTTTTCTTGCAGACGTTTCATGACTCAGCTAGGTAACATCATCAGTGCTAGAAGGGAGGAGGAGAAAGAAGGAAGGAAGGAAGGAAGGAACGAACGAACGAACGAACGAACGAACGACAGATGTGGGGTCCTTTGTGCTCTCTGAGCTTGTTTGTTTTCTTGCAGACGTTTCATGACCCAGCTAGGTAACATCATCAGTGCTGGAAGGGAGTGAGGTCTGTGGAGGAGGAGGAGGAGGACAAATGTGGCGTCCTCGGTATTTTCTGAACTTGGTGGTTTCCTTGCAGACATTTCATGACCCAACTAGGTGACATCATCAGTTCTAGAAGGGAGTGGGGTTTGCCGAGAGGAAGAGGAGGAGTGTGAGGTGCTTGGTGTTTTATGAGCCAGGTGGTTCCCTTGTGGACATTTCATGACCTAAGTAGGGACCCATCATGAATTCTAGAAGGGAGGAGGAAGGAAGGAAGGAAGGAAGGAAGGAAGGAAGGAAGGAAGGAAGGAAGGAAGGAAGGAAGGAAGGAAGGAGAGAGAGAGAGAGGGGTAGCACTTGGTGCTCTCTGAGCTTGGCTGTTCTCTTGAAGATGTTTCATGACCCCACTAGGGAACGTGGTCAGTACTGTGGGGTCCTTAATGATCTCTGAGCTGGATGGGTTTTTTGCAGACGTTTCATGACCCAACTAGGGAACCTCATCAGTGCTAGAAGGGAGGAGGAGGAGGAGGAGGAGGAGGAGGAGGAGGAGGAGGAGGAGGAGGAGGAGAACTGTGGGGTCCTTGTTGCTCTCTGAGCTGGATTGTTTTCTTGCAGACATTTCATGGCCCAACTAGGGAACATCATCAGTGTTAGAAGGAAGTGGGTTTTGCAGAGTGGAGGAAGAAGAGGAGGAGAAAGAGGAGGACTGTGGAGTCCTTAGGCAGTCTCTAAACTCAGCTGTTTTCCTGTAGACGTTTTATGACCCAGCTAAGGAACACCATCAGTGCTAGAAGGGAGGGGAA